TTGAACAAAAAATTTTTTCAATTGTTTAAACAATTTTTATAAACAATGTTAATGATTTTAGTTCCTCATTACGAAATTAATAACATATGGAAAGAAATGTGCAATATTATAAGTCAAGTTAAACGACTAATACTTACTTTAATTAATTTTTACACAAAGAATGTGTTTGCTTTAAGTTTTTTTTTTAAAATAATGTATTTTTATAATATTTAACAAAATCATTAATTAATTAAATAATTTTTATAAACCCGTGTGGAAAAGTGATGTGGGCCTGCAGCGGGGGCCCTTATGGATCGCCCTCATGCATATGGGTGATCCATAGGGGACTCTCATGGAAACGACATGCTCATCGATGAGGGCGCCCCTATGCGCGCCCTCATGGGTACTCACGTTTGCCCTCATCTTGCCCTCAAGTTTGCATTAATGTTTTTTAATCAACAATATTAATAATAATAGTTAATTAATAATAAATAAGCTTAAATTATGAATAAATAACATATTTATTTACTAATTCTTTCATTTTTAAATTATTAAATTAAATTCTTACTCAAATTGAATTTATTAATTAACGTTCTAATTAATTAAATGTAATATACATACAATAAATAAATAAATTAAAAAATATGTCATTTTTGCATACTATTAACGGATATTTTCATTTTTCAACTAATTCATACATAGAATTAATGATTAAACTCAAACCTGAGAAATAAATAAATCTAACGCATGGGGGGAATCGAACCTACGGACTATGAGCCCAACGTTTTACCAACTACGCTACGCTCACTACGTGAAAACGAATGCTAACTTCTTGATGGCATTTAAACTTGCAAAATACCTATCTTAGAAAAGTGCTTAACATTATTTAGTTACAGTTAAGATATTAAATTATATTTTCCAATCAAATGCAATTTATAAAATATAATTAATTATATGCTTTATGATTATTATCATGAATCATCCTAGGTGAATTTTCAAGAAAAGTGAAAATATATTTTTATTAAAAACGCGTTATTCATTGTTCTTAATCATTGTAAACATTAATTTTTTGGAGATAAAAAAATATTTGACTTTTGGACTTAAAAAATTTTACTAAATGATCATGTGGGTGATACAACACACGGGTATTTAAAAACAATTTTATATAAACAAAATATTTTTTGTTATTTTTACCCAGTCTCTTTACAGCTCTTTCCTTTATTTTTTAATTATTTCTCTCATATTATATTATATATTATATCATATTATATCGGTGTATGCTCCTCCGGATACAAAGATTCCTCCACTTATTTGGGAGAAATTAATTGAATGTTGTCCCTCAAATGACACAGTTATCATATGTTGTAACCTCAATGCTTACTCATGGATGTGGAGCTCTGTTAGTTGCAACAGTCGTGGTAATCATGTGGCAGATGCAGTTGATGAGGCTGACTTGGTCCCTTTGAACGAGAGTGATCCAGCTTACATCAGTGGAAGTGTCGAAGTAGGCGAAAACATTGACCATATATTCGTATGCAACATAGCTGAAATATCTTCAGAAAATTATTCATCTGATTATTTTCTTGTTGTTGCTCAAACTGATGCGTCGGCTAAATTTCAAGAAGCATCAGTGAATCGTCCTAATATTAAAAAGGTAGATTGGGCGAAATTTATGATTGGTATAAATGTTGGTGTTGAGCCCTTATTTCGGAAAGTTGAATTAAACGAACCCTTGATTGAAATATATGGTGAATTTTTGAATGAGGTGAAGGACGAATTGATTGCTGCTTGTGCTTTCTACCACTCATATCATCCCTTTCGAAAAAGAGAAAGGCAAAACCTCTTTGGTGGGACCAGGAGTGTGAGGAAGCTCTTGAGCGACGTAGGTTGGCTAGAAAGGAATTTCTAAAATATCAAACTTCCGCTCTTAGAGTCAGATTTGTTGAAATTGACAATGTGGTCAAGTGATTGCCCAGGAATAAATAGAAATTGTCCTTTGAAAAATTCTGTAATTCAGTCCAGCCCACTATGGGCTCTAAGGAGATATGGTCTAAGGTGAAGGTATTTGTCACGTCTTCTAAAATTTTGAAGTTTTTAAAAACCTTCAAAGGAACCTGATCAAGAAGGATGTTTTTCCGGTTCACTTGCCCTTAATTGATCGAGTGAATGTCGATGAAAGCATGAATTGTCCTTTTACTGAGTCGGAGTTTAGAGCTGCCTTGATGAGCAACAAAAAAGATTCAGCTCCAGGTTTGGATGCTATATCTAACTCTATTCTATAGCGATTGCCTCTTCGTCACCAGAAATTATTGCTTACAATCTTTAACGGCTTCTTTACATCTTCAACCTTCCCAGTGCGTCTTCACTGGCTTCAGAGCGACCGGCCCGAACGCAAATCGAGTTACACGATCCGGCTCCTCTATTGTGTTTTTTGTGCGAGATTTTACCGATGACATATATAATTATGTAGTTCGGTTATAAATTATAGATGGCGATGAACTATAGTACTTGTGGGATTTTCGTTATTATAAAAGAGATAAAATGTTCAGAAGGAATCCTCACTAGTTCGCGTATTTAAAGTAAATAGTGGACAACCATAAATAAATATTTATTATTAAAAAATATAATTTATTTAATTATTATCTACGGAATACAATTGCGTGTTATACCAGTGGTGGTTAGAGAGAGAGACAAGCTCACGCATTCAATCTCTGACTTTTCGTGCGAGAGAAAAGTATTACAGTTTACAGGTAGAGATCCTTAAGGCAGAGTTGACGCAAGTCGAGCTGAACTGTGATTGGTAGAGGGTAACCGGAATCGAAAGTTAATCCAAAATTTATTTGATTGGTTCGAATTGAGCGCGGTTGTTTGAAATGGTTTTTATTAAAGGCATTTTAAAAGATTCCGTTCATTTTGACTAATAGTATATCATATTTTTTCATCACTTCCGAATCCGGTTACCCGCAAAAGTAGTGGAAGGGAAAACATGCATCAACTCTTCCTTAAGGATCTCTATTTACAGGAACCGTCTTTATCATGCTGCCATCCCCACATACTTTAAAATAAACATTATAATTGATTTATTTTTTCTTATGAACTGATATATTATCTTACTTATATAAAATATGAAAAATTGGAAAATGTTTTTGATTCCAAATTAAATAAATATGTAGTACATGCACAGTGAGCCAGGATCGACAAAAAGTGGCCAAAAGTCAAAATGTTTGTAGAAGGTGGGTCAGAATTTCTCAAACGGATCACCTAAAATTCAGAAATTTTTTTTTTAGTCTCATTTTTTTCTCAACGGTTTCTTACCGTGTGGGGAATTCAAAAAAAATTTTTAATTTTCTGTAGGACGTCAAGAACACTATTTTTTAATAACATTTTATAAATAAATAATATAAAAATCTATTAATATGAAATTTTTTCAAAATAAAAATTATATTTAGAAACTACATTTTAAGACGAGAAAACCCCTTTTTTTAAATTGGTGAACAGGAACTCGAGAAAAAATTTTTTAAAATAAGACTGCAAAAAATTTCAATTGTTTATAACTTTAACAAAAAATTTTTTTTTGACCTAAAAATTTCAGGGACTTATTTTTACCTTGTAAGGAGTCAAAAGAAATGATTTTTGATTAAAAAAAAAATTTCTGAATTTTAGGTGATCCGTTTGAGAAATTCTGATCCAGGTTAAAATTTTTTTTTCAAATCTTGATACTTTAAAGTATCTACAAAAGAAATATTAGAAGTTTTATTAGAGTATTATAATTATATATAATGCCGAAACTTTAAAATTTGAAAAAATTTCTACACAAATTTAACTATACATATTTAAATACTATAGATATCAATTCTTAAAAATCTATCCTAATGATTTTTATTTATTTAGAGTACATATTAATCTTTGAAAAAAATGGAAATAAGAATTTTAGTCATGGATAATTTTTATTTTAACACTTTTTTAAAAAATTGTATTTTTTAGCAAAGTACTTTCGCAACGAGTGCAGAACAAGGGCGATTTCTCACAAGCTCGAAATTTGCTGCGCAATCGAGCAAGCGAGTATCGCTGTTTTTCACGAATAGCACATGATACTTTGTCCAACAACTGTAAAATGTAAATTACAGTTGACAGCTGTCAAGTTTGCTAAAACGGGATCTTTTTTTCCTAAAATGAAAGTGAAAACATTTTCAGATCCGCTGGTATAAAATTTAAAATAAGATTTAAAATAAAATTTATACTTTTTTTATTTATATTATAATTTGACAGCTATCAAATCCAGAGTCAAGTTATATAAAAAGTTATTTGTTTAAATAAAAATTTTAATAAAAGGGTTTTTGGTGTCATTGGTGACAAATTTTATGTTAAAGTGGCAATAAGTTGACAGTCAATTTGACAGCTGTCAAACTGCCAATTTGACATAAACTATGTGATTAGTGATTATTAAAACTTTCAGTAGGATGATTAATATCTATTACTATTTTTGCAATTTTTATTATGCCTTTTATCTCCACTCTACTCTCAATATTTCTTATTCCTCTACTGGTGACTAGTGTACAATAGCTCAATTTATTGAATTAAACATTTATTAAGCAATGATTAAATAAATTATTAACAAAATTAAGTACTATGATTAATTATTATTTATTAAAAATAAATAATTTTTTAACAGAATATGTATTTTTTACACAAAATTACAGATAATTGAGAAATAATTGAGAAGAAGTTCAGTATATTTTTCCCACTCTTTTCGTCAATTAATAAAACGAATTGTAGAAGTGAACAACCTTTTTACATAGATTTATTTAATTGTGGATTTTGAGAAGCTAATAATTCGGCTTAATAATTTTTATGGGAAATTCGTGTACCCATAATTTTTTAGACACTTCGCATCAAAGACAAATGAATAAGACATTTATCCTAAGAAGACATTTTGTAAATATCTCAAGATTTCAAATGTCTAACATTTGAACACTGGTTTTTGCAATGAAGTAAATTATTTTATTGTAATAAAGACTTACTGAAAAAATGATTCCGGATAGTTTGGTGCTCTCTTTCCATATAATTTTATAAATCCAGTTGATCTCAAAAGCATACAAACATCATCGACTCGTGTGGATGATGAACTGTGGGCGTTATAACGATAATAAGATACAAGTAACCTTTCCCTTATAGGTCCTTCGAAATAAAAGTCGACTAAGAGTAACATAATTCCATACAAGTAAATTGATTCACACTGAAATTGATTTAAATTCGAATTTTTTATCGTGCAATTATTGAAAAAATACATAATTAAATTAATAAAATACCATCAATTGTTTTCCTTCTTCATTTAACATTATGGATTCTACAGACTGTTGAATATAGACTCCTTCCTCTAGTTCGTCAACATAAGCATTTAATTCCGTAATATATTTATGAATGCTTTCAAAAGCTAAATAAAATCTCAAGAGAATTTGAGAATAACTATTTCGTAACTCTTCGTCCAAAGATTGTAAATTCTGTAATTGAACATACATTATTTACAAGAAGCAAGATGCATTTGCTTTTGTATAAACGCTTTAGTACTTACAGAATCATTTTCAATCCTTTCTTCACAAGCATTTGTTGTTTTGAAGTACGCAAAATCAATTAGTATCAGACTGTACTTTTGAATATAACTTTTCGAATCCAATCTACGACATAAATAAATTGTGTTAAAATGACAGCGTAAAACAACTTTTTCATGCTTGAATAAAGTATACAGGACTTAACATCATTAGGACTTTTGTTTGACTTCCCTCGCTTTACTGACGGCTCTCAATCTATAGATTTTGAATTGCTCTTTCTCGAACAAATCTCTAAAATTGTTTATGTAAATTATTTTTTGTGTTATCGATAAAATATAGGCATATTTTGTAGGAAGGATGTCGCCACGAGGCTGTGTGCATCAGTGATGAGTATCAGTGAACACAAGACTATAAGATGAAAGCTTTGATACAGTATCTGTCCGTACACACAGTAAAAACTCGGGCTCAAAATGATCCGGGCAATCCGCAGCAAAAATGAGTCAAGTAGGTGGCGCTACGTTCTATGTCTTTTAGCATTTGTTCATTTTTGCTGCGGATCAGAATGAGCCCAAGTTTTTACTGTGCAGGAACTATATCAAGATGGAGCAACCTATATTAAAACTCCCTGTACCCTATCTTGTACACTTTCATATACAAGTTCAGTAGCTAAACTTCTACCAGTTCTGTTCAGTTCCTGTACAGAAGTCTCTATAATATTCAATGTACGAAATTGGGGTTGTTCATGTACACGTTCTTCTCGAAGTTTATTGAGATTTTATCCACATATATCAATTTAATAATATTATTATTACTATTAATAATATGAAAAAAATTTGTTCAACAATTTACATATCGAAATTTATTTTACATTAGGTTCCCAGGGTTTTTTTAAAATAACCCGAGTCGAAATTTAAAGTTGGTTTAGATTCTAATAAAGTATAATAAGATCTTAGTAAATACTTTTAAGGCCTATATAGTCTGTTTAGAATCTACTAAAATTCAGTATAATATATTTAGAGACTTTTTAGTTCTCTATTAATTAATTAATTATTAATAATAATTAATTAATTAATAATAAATAATTAAATTAATTATTAATAAGTTCTCTATTATTAATTTTATAAACGAAAGGACTACAAAACTTCCTCCACGAGGAATCAAAATGTTTCAATTACGGCGAGGGAAAAAATTTGATATTAAATAATTTAATTAATAATTGTTTAAATGTGCATCTTCATTAGTAATTAATAAATAATTTTGCAACAGTTATATTAAATATAATAGTAATAATAGTCATTCTTTATGATCGTGCCGTAATTGATGCACTTACCCTAATATTTAAAAATATTTAATTTCTTATTTTAAAGTTTTGCTCTTAAATAATAATTTTATTGAAAGTTCTACGTATAAGAAAGTGCTATTTGACGTGTAATATTTTTTGTAATAAAGGGTAATACTCAGTAATACATGTGTAATACTTTGTAATACAGTAATATTTTGGTAATAGTATGTAATACTTGTAAAAAGTGTAATACTAAGGTAATAATGGTAATATGTGTAGTTGTACTCAAGTGTACACAATTTTTACTAGTAAATTCCCCCTCGATAAAATATTGTTTATAATACAGTAGTCCTTCTAAATTTATTTTCTGCCGCTCAAAATATTGTATTTAATCCACATATTTGGACAAAAGACATTTTTTCTTTTTTTTGTAACTCATCTGATACTTTTTGGTCATCTTAATCTTAATGACAATGATGATATGAATGAAATGTTAGAATCGTCAGACGAAATCAGTAATGAAATGCATCATCAGTAAGTAAAACTTTAAAATGAATATACATGTACAATATATACTGTTGGAAATCGCACTAAAACTTAGAATCAGAGGAATTGAAATTATTTTCAATCTCGAAAGTGCAAATATATACAGTTGTAGTCCCATTTTTAACAATGTAGCTTCATACCAGCCTTGAAGTGAGACACCCTTATGCGGAACACATGTTCAGATATGACATTTTTACGTTTAGTTTCCTAAATATACATGTTTTATTATAAATTTTAGATATTTATAACCGTAATATGAGAGATTCTTTTTCAATCGCCCCAGCCCAAAAAGTCAATGTTCTGGGATTAGCTTCATACTTTGGTAAATTGTTGTCCTATATGATAGTAATAAATCCCTAAAATATAAACTCATTAAAAAAATATTTTTAGAAAGTAGAGGGGGTTGAAGTTTTGACGTTAAGGGTAACATTGTCATTTTCAAATCCGTATAACTATGACAAAAGTTAATGGATTTTAATTTATCTATAATGAATTTTAATGCATTTTTCACGTACTTTTCAAAAATGTATACAAAATTTAAAAAAAAAATTTTTGACCCCTTTTTTTCAAAATCAACCCTTATTTTTCGATTTTTACCCCTTCGGGTATTTTTTTTTTATTTTCATTGGAAAGCTGAGGTTTTTTCCCATGAGCTATGTAAATATGAAAATGGGACAACAATAATTTTGTGAGAAACAGAATATTAATGTAGGCGGTGCCGGTAACGGGTATACCTAAAGATCATCTTCGAGGATTTAGGTAGGCACCGCCTGCTTTAATATTCTGTTTCTCACAAAATTACTGTTGTCCCATTTTCATATTTACATAGCTCATGGGAAAAAACCTCAGCTTCCCAATGAAAATAAAAAAAATAAAAAAAAAATTCCCGAAGGGGTGAAAATCGAAAAATAAGGGTTGATTTTGAAAAAAAATGGGTGAAAAAATTTTTTTTTTAAATTTTGTTTACATTTTTGAAAAGTACATGAAAAATGCATTAAAATGCATTATAGATAAATTAAAATACATTAACTTTTGTTATAGTTATACGGATTTGAAAATGACAATGGTACCCTTAACTGCACCCTTACCGGCACCGCCTACATTAATATTCTGTTTCTTACAATATTATTGTTGTCCCATTTTCATATTTACATAGCTCATGGGAAAAAACCTCAGCTTTCCAATGAAAATAAAAAAAAAAAAAAATACCCGAAGGGGTGAAAATCGAAAAATAAGGGTTGATTTTGAAAAAAAGGGGTCAAAAATTTTTTTTTTAAATTTTGTATAAATTTTTGAAAAGTACGTGAAAAATGCATTAAAATTCATTATAGATAAATTAAAATCCATTAACTTTTGTCATAGTTATACGGATTTGAAAATGACAATGTTACCCTTAACGTCAAAACTTCAACCCCCTCTACTTTCTACAAATATTTTTTTAATGAGTTTATATTTTAGGGATTTATTACTATCATATAGGACAACAATTTACCAAAGTATGAAGCCAATTCCAGAACATTGACTTTTTGGGCTGGGGCGATTGAAAAAGAATCTCTCATATATTATAGATTCAATATATTTATTTTTTAAAATCGAGTTATTAAAATTGTGTATTTTTTAAGCAATAAAACTCGGGTTAAAATTATAATCCTTTAACAAAGGACTAAGGTTCTATTGTACAAAGGACGGATGGCAATATATGACCGAAATTTTCTTCTAAGTATATTATGTTTTTTGCTCTTTCACAAGCATATTGGGAGTAACGGTTTAGTACCACTCTTTTGGCAGGATATATTTTTTTGTATTAAGTTTATAAACCATTCATGGAAAGCTTACTTAAATTCGTTTGTAAGCATGAGTGCCACTTGTTTAACATCAAAATTTTTATTTTTCTTAGATTAATATATGAGGAGGCAGAAGATATTGAAAATTTAAGAGGAAATGATGATGATGATTTAAATTCTTCTGAAGAATATGGAAGTGAAGATGATAATGAGGACAACGATGGTTATGAAAATACAGTTGAGGAAGAAAATGGCGATGAATATGATATATTAGATGCATTGTTAAATGAAAATAATAATGAAACCTTATATCAAGGAGCTCCATTAACAGTTGTTCAAAGTATGCTGTTAATATTGTCAACATTCTTACATCATAATATATCATTATCCTGCATTGCAGATATTATTGCAGTTATTAATTTTTATTGCCTAAATCAAAATTTTAAAAAAAATAGCTTATATAAATTTCAAAAAATTTTTTCTTTAACAACAAGAAATGATTTAAATTTAAACATTTAAAATGTTTAAGCGTGAACATTTCTATAATCAATTGCAATATCGTTTTCATAGACCTAATACTGCAGATATCTATGATGGTTCCGTGTATAATGAATGGATTGAAAATGGGCTTTTATCTAATCCTCATAATATTTCACTTAGTTATGGTATACTGATGGAATACCAGTTTTTAAGTCTTCAAAAATTATTGCATGGCCAGTATATTTAACTATTAATGAACTACCCCCAAAAGAAAGAAAAAGAAGAGAAAATATTTTACTTGCTGGCTTATGGTATGGTGATCAAAAGCCAAATATGAATATGTTTTTTTACTCTTTTTATTCTGAATTTCAAGAACTTAAAAACGGAATTGAGATTTATGTTCCTCAAATAGATACTAATGTGAGTGTTAAAGGAATTTTATTAATGGGAACGTATTATTTATCAGCCAAAGCTGCTTGTTTAAATTTTACACAATATAATGGAGACTACGGATGTCCAACATGTTTTTTGAAGGGTGAAACTTTTCTTTTACCAACAGGTGGTAATGTTTATGTTTATCCTTATAGTAATCAATTTGATCTGAGAACATTTGCAGCATGTGATTTATATGCACGTTCTGCAACCTGTAATGGGTATAAAAGGATCTACCACACTTTCCCTTTTAATGGCTGATTTTATAAAGGGGGCATGCATGGGGTTGAAAGTGGCGAAGTTAAAAAAATACTAACTTTATTGTTTGATACAAAATACAGGACATATGATTTTTCATTAATTAATGCTATACATGTAATTAATAGTAAATTAACTCAAATTAAGCCACCAAAATTTGTTTATCGAATGCCTCGTACTGTTAATGATTGAGTTCACTGGAAGGCTTCTGAACTAAAATTGTGGTTCTTTTATTATTTAATTCCTGTTTTTCATGGAGTAGTGGAGCAAAATTTTTTTGAACACTATATACTTTTAGTTACTGCTTCATCTATTTTAAATTCAGATATTGTGAGTTATAACAA